TGGAAAGGAGGCTACAGTGTGCAAAGAGGCTTGAGGTATATAAGAAGGCTAGAGATGAGATTGATGCAGCGGTTTGGGTTCGATGACGTAGCTGAAAAGTTTCGTGTGATTAATGGTTTTTATTAGTTTAGATACATTCTATAACCCATCTAAAAAGTTCATAAAACGTAAAAGACCTCCAAAGTTGTTTAAATAGTACTTGTAGACTTGTAGTTATAAATTACTCCCAAATTTAGATAAGCCCTAATTTCCGAGATTAGGGTTTGGGATTATGAGCGATCCTAATGTTTTGGCGTTTTATAAAAGCGAAGATAGACTGTGTGCCGTTTTTGTGGTATTGATTTGTTTCGTTTGGGCTTCTTCTTAATGACTTTGGGCCTTAAAGCTCTTGTTTAAGCGGAAGAGAATCCAAAGCTTTACGCGCCTAAGAATTGCGGAAATAAGGCGCGAAAATGTTCAGTGGAAGAACCCTAGCGAATAATTTTCCATCTCTCTTCCTCAGAACCTCGCGATTCCCAATGTCTTAACATCTTTATTCCTTGAAATTTGTCTGGTGGATTTGATTTTTGAGAATTTTTCTGATTTCTCTGGGTTTTTTTTTTTCCGATTCGATTGTAGTCGCGAACTTCCGATTACATATAAATTCATCAGTTTGATCGAATTCGTCATCTTCGCTTACTTGGGTTTCTGTAAATCTTACCGAAATTTTCAGTAATGGAAGAAAGTGGGAGAATTGGAGGAGGATCTCAAGCAGTGATAAATCTCGAACCTGGATCTTCGGTGCCGATTTCGTATCACCCATGTTTTGGTCCTCACGAAGATCTACTTCTTCTTGAAGCTGATGATAATCTCGTCTCAGATATCTTCAATGGAAGGTAAGATTTTGTAGTTTATAGAACCGATTTCGAGTGTCCATGAATTGATTTAAGAGTTTCTCAATTTTGTTGTCATTTTAATCTTCAGAGTAACATTGAGGGGACTTCCTGATGAAGATGCTGTTCTATGTACCAAATCCAAGACTTATGCTATCAAATTTGTTGGTAATTCTAATTCCATGTTCCTTATTCCTCCATCGATTTGCCTCGGAGTTTCCGATACTGAAAACAACGATAAACCGCTTGTATCGGTTATCAAAATCGCTCCCGGTAACATGGAGCTTGTCGAGGTATCTCCTAGGCTTGACAAACTCAAGAAGCTTCTCTTGGAAAATCCTTTTTGTGCTGGTGAAGTAGAAGAAGCCATGATTGATGATGATGATGGAAAGAGAGATTTACCGTTGTTGTATACGTGGAGCGATTTGGTTAACACGATTCAAGCTAGCGATGAGGAATTACGCGATGGATTGAAGTGTCTTTCTGCTATCGAGATTGATGGTTATTGGAGGGTTATAGATGAGAATTACCTTGACATGATTCTGAGAATGCTTCTTCATAATTGTGTACTGAAAGATTGGTCATTTGATGATCTTGATGAAGATGAAGTTGTGGATGCTTTAGTAGCTGATGAATTCCCTAGTAAACTCGCGAGTCATTGCTTACGCGTGTTTGGCTCTAAGGTAAAGGAAACTAATAAGTGGAAGTTAGAACCGAGGCTCGTTTGCTTGCATTTTGCTAGACAGATACTGAGAGAAGAGAAGATGAAACTTGAGAGTTTCATGGAAGAGTGGAAGAAGAAGATACCAGAAGGAATGGAAGAAAGATTCGAGATGCTCGAAGGAGAGGTTTTAACAGAGAAAATCGGGATCGAGACACGGGTTTATACATTCAGCGTACGTTCTCTACCATCAACTCCAGCAGAACGATTCTCTACGCTCTTTAAGCATAGACCGAAATGGGAATGGAAAGACTTGGAGCCTTATTTAAGGTAAATTGCACAATCTTGTTTTGAAGTTGTTCATTAGAAAGATGAG